GTTCAATACTTTTTCCCTGTGCCATTCCACATTATTACAAATAACTTCATTTCTGGACATTTATGGTTTGATTTCTTTGTATGTATGGATCATCGACATCTGGTGAAAATTTCATGTCATTAGCACCTCTAGTAATATATTTACTGAGAAAATGCTGACGTGTTCAATACTTATTTTACCCGCTGTATACAAAAAAAGTTGTTAAACGGAACTTACTGTCTTCAGTGAGTTGATGATTTTTGCCCTGTCAGTTATTTTCATAAATAGAGGAGGGTTTTCCTTTAAAAACTGCATTAAAACCTCTTTTATATGTGAGCAAATTGTGTTACAGAAACTATTTATTTTACAGCACAGTTTGGAGCACAAATCTCCCTTTGAGGGGGGTTTATACACTAAAAACGTGTTTATGCTTACATAATAACACACAGCTCATTGTAAATTCAATTTATGTCTAAAAGATGAGTAAAACCTGAATTAAATTTAATATAAAACCTGAATTTCCCCGCACGGGACAAGAAAGGCTATTTCTATTCTAAATATAACTCTCCTGTTCCTCTGATGGGGTGTAATGTATTAATTATGAAGTTTAGCAGTGTTGTTTTTCTTTAAGGCACTAATAAAGGTTAGTCCAATAATGCACACATCGTTATCACTTTGTCTCGACCTCAGACTCGTGTTGCATCAGGACTTCATGACAGAGGGGCGGAGCCTAACAGGAAAAAGGTAAACCACAGTACACATTTATTAATCAGGTGAAAATACTCCATAACCAAGTCTTTTAACCTTTAAATATATACTTTTTCTTAAATCAAATCAGTTTGCCAAACATTAGCTTCTTCTGCATTAGTTTCACCATTGCACGTGTAAATAAGTGTGATATTCACATTTTTCATAAATTATGATTATGTGCTGCGGCGCAGGTGTTCGCTGCGACAACGTTGGACGTACAGCAGGAGCTCTCGTGGGATCAGTTACGCAATTTATACCGAGGACCATCCAGGGTAATAAACTAAATCTGTCACTGTAACTGGATTTGTTAGTATTTTGTACTAATATACTAAATACTGTATATTAACTTTAATCAGGATTAAGGCAAAAACAACCACTATCAAGATGAAAGTATACTCAGTGTGCTTAGCTGTGYGGGTATAAGGTTAAAAAAATATTGTTTTATATATCTGGTTAATATAAACCTTCAGAGTAAGAAAACCACAAAGTGCTTTACAAAGCAAAAACTAATGAAACGAAAACACAGTAAGAAAAAATAACATTTAAATAATAAAATACAGCAGTAAAGACTTTGTTTAAAAAGATTTTCTACAGCATAGGTCTAAATACCTGATCGGTTTCTGTCTGTCCTCCAGCTGTCCATCCTTTCAGAAGTGTCCAACTGTCAAAGCAGTGAGAAGACGGGGTTTCTAATTCCAGCCCAAGCAGGGACTGCAGAAAATTTGCTCCTGAAACTCTCCCCTCCACCTCTTTTTGAAGAATAACATCATCGCAGGCTGAAGGTGGACGTTGGACCCAAAATAAATCATTTTGTCCCGAAACATTTTTGACTATGATTTAAATGTTCCCACGAGTTTCTTATGGCGAGACCCCTGATGTTGAACGTCTGCCAGCTGCTTTTTAAACTAACCATCCCTAGGAAAAGCACTAACACTTTTTATTTATTAATGAATTTTCAGGCTGCAGTATTTCTGTTACTAAGTGAATCTTCACTACTTCTACTCTAGAAGTGCTTCTTGTTAAAACACCTCGTGTTTGCAGACGGGACAGTTTTACAGCAGGTTTTGTTTTTAGTATTTTCACACTTTGTTTGGACACTCATTTAAAACGGTTCAAGATTAAATCCCTGAAAACTGATCATCCAGTAGTTTTGGTCATTATTGTTTTTATTTTTTTAAGTATCTGTGAGTTTTGTGTTTTTACTTATTGGACAACACTTGTAAAGAACAGGCTACACCTTTAATCATTAGCACATGTGTTAATTAGCACAGATAGAGCCTGAGGAGACATTTTATTATTTTAATATCTGTTCGGTTTATTTCTAGACATTGTCTCATCAAGCACAGATGATTCCTAAACTTTAATAATTCAAATTTTCCTTATTTTTGTTTTAAAATTAAATGTTCTAGTTATGACTTTTCCCAAATCACTATTTAGGAATATTAAATAAGGATAAATGGAAAACCAAATGTTATAAAACAATAAAAGAAATATTGATACAAACCTAGAGGAAACAATTTTATGAACTTGACATAATTTTGATGTCAAGTTCAACTCTCAGACTGAAGAAGTCTCTTGGAGGAGAGACGAAACGTTTCATTAGAGAAGAACCCGTCCAGAAGACCTAYACAATTTTTTCCTTTTTGATTTTTACCTGGATTACTGAGATGCATCAGGACATATCAAGTGTTCTTTTTTATTTTAAAGGCATCCAAGAATATTTGACGTTCCCACTGAAGCAGCTATGATTATACTAAATATTTACACACTGCTTTATTTTAATAAACGTACACATCATCATACAGTGGTCAACAAAACAAGTCATTTATTATTCTGCAAAAAAGTTGTTTGGATAACAATAAAAGAGGTTTTGTTTAAACCTCTGTTACTGGGTTGGGAAACCTCTTCAGCAGAGTCGTGGCTTGTTTTGGCGTTAGGCGTCCTTTAGTCGTGCTGCCCTGTTCAGATTTATTCTTCCTCGCTTCCTGTGAAAAAATAAAGATGAAAATCTTCACTCTTAAATCACTTTCAATGACAAAAAAAGGAAAAATAAATGTATGATTCCAGCACTCCAAGGTGTTCCCAGGCCAGCTGAGCCGCGAGCAGGACCACATCACCCGCAGATAGCAGAGACTGAATCCTGGGACCACCGAACCAGACCACTTCTCCCCATAAAACTTATAAACAGAATTGGTGACAAATGACTATATTACACAACTATTATAAAAGATGAAAAAAAGTATCTGTCACCAATTTTTGTTTTTCAAATGTGCTGAATATTTTTCCCTTTTAATTTAATCCAGCTTTTTATGTTTTGTGAAGTGTGCACTTTTTTTTGTTTTTTGTTTGTAGAAAAGTCTGCTGTACTGCTCTACTTGTAAGGCCACAGGTAAAATCAGACACATACCAGTACTTTGTTTACACACGTATAGAAAGTATCGATCTCTCTGGAACAAAAAGTGTCTACAAAGTTGTTCTCTTTCCAACAAGCCATCATGACCGACATCTCAGTGAGGCAAGTGGCATCTGTGGAGAAAGAGATTCAGGTTTAGCTTTGAGTTTAGACTTTGACATCAGATTTACAGGTGCAGACAAAAAATAAATAAATTATTTATAACACCACCACCAACACCACCAACAACAACAATAATAATAACTGATTTTCCACAGCCTCAAAAGGTAAAAGGAGATAATGTTTTGCCAGTGTTCTCTAAGTTGGTCATCTTAGCAATATAATTTATTTAACTTTCAGAAAATAATCACTGGATCTACATCAACAATTGATTAACCAGATGAAACACAAACATGTCAGGTGGCAGTAACCGAGTCATTCACAACACATTCTGAGCTAACAAACTGCACATGATTATGTGATATCCTGTATAGTGTTATTTTCAAAATCAGRTCAAAACATCTACAGCTGTCATTTCTCAACATGAGTCTGAACTGTCTGTCATGTTGCAGTCTTTAAATATTGTGTTTGGTCTCATTTTGTAGTTAGTTGCTACTAGATTTTCAAGGTAAGACACAATAATAAGCCTCATAATAAGAAAAATATTATGTGGACTTTGTTTCTTACTTTATGACTTTGCTGTAATTCCACGTTAGCCACATGCTATGAAAACAGTGGAGTCAGTTTTTGGTGTTCAAACAGCGACATCTCTAGAGCCACAAATTTTGAGGCATCACTTAAAGCGACACACGTGCCTTTAACTCCCCACTGAGAAAAAGAAAAAGCCTATTTTTTCCCCCTTACCTCCTTTGTCGACACTGCGGCTGGACACACGATCTTGCAGAACAAGAGGCTTGTTGGGTTTCAGCACAGGCTTTTTTTTATATCTGCTGAGCAACTTCCTRACCTTCTCCTGGAACTGAATGGTTCCCGGTGATGGCGTGACCATTTTCTCTCTGTAAAGTCGGACTGCTCCGCGGATAGCTGGTAACACTCCGGCCTCAAACTATGGAAACAAACAAATATGTAGAAATAAATGAAAAGAGAAGACTCGTGTCTTCGGAAAGCTATGCAGGCTAGGTCAAATAGGCTAGTTTTACAACATGCCGTAAGTGAAAGTTCAGTGTCGTAAATTTAAACTTCTTCTTCTTCTTCTTCTTCTTCTTCTTCTTTCTTTTTATGACGGTTGACGGCTAAGTGTTTTGCCATCTTCTGGCTTGGAGGATTTGCTCTTGATCCAAACGAGATCCAGAGAGCCTTGCAGTGAACAGATGCTGATGCAGTGGGATTTGTTAACTATGTACAAGACCTCTAAATTTTTGGTGGAACTTCAGGTCCAACTCTTGATTTCATCTGGTTCATCTAAAAAAAAAAAAACTCTCCTCAACAATCCCCTCCTCTGAAAACCAAAAATAGAAAACACAAAACATACACTATCATTTTTTTATTACAAAATAAAAGGAAGCACTGACAGCTATGGCTACTTTATTCTAGAAAAAATATTAATAATGACTATTAAACTAAGAATCATATTTACAATTATTTAGATGATTATTCATTAACTGAAAATGTCTAGGCTATTTTTATTATAGTCTATAACTCAGGTCTATGACATGCACTGTTGCTATAGAGCTGGGTGTTAAATAAAACACCTCTAAAATGTTCTTTACTGCTCTGTTGCCAATTAACCTAATTAGCTACAAAATGCTCCTCCATCACTAAAATTACTTAGAATTAAAAAAAGGTAACATTTATTGGTTTAACCCTCTTGATAAAAATATATTACTTAATATTACATTTCTTTTATTCAAGAAATATGATTTTTAAGCAACTATAATAGCGCAGGTGGAAGAAGGACTGACAGCATTAAACAAAGTTAGCAGTGCCACATGCTTACACTTAGCACTTTAGTAAATTCACAGAAACTTCTCAGGCCTCTCTCCTGCAGGCATTCTATAGTGACAAATTAGACATTTACTTAGCATTTTTTCTCCGAACATATTTGTTGAGATTAATGTGAAGTTGTCAGAAGGCTAGTTGCAGAGTTGTTACAAAAAGGAACGCAAATTATCAAATTATCACTATGAGTAGCAAATGCAGACTTGACGTGCTGTGGATGTCAAAAATATATTTCTTTCCTTTAAATCTTTCTATAAGTTCTGTCAGATGTCACTAAGTCAAAGTGTTGTGAACAAAGCTATYCATTTATCTGAAACAAATACAAAAAAGCTRAGCAAAAAATGAATTGTGATTTGGTTATCTGCAGGCTGGGGATGGATCAACATATGTATTTGTTTATCATAACCTTTCTGCAAAACCCTGCTTCAAAAGATACAAATTATTTTTGTTTCCTGTTAAATATGCAGAACCACAATGTATATTTTTTATGTAAAAAAAATAAAAACACACTATTTACATATATTTAAAATGTCTATTTAAGATATTTCACCAAGTGCAAGCTTTAACCCAAAGCTTAGGTTTGTGAGTTTGAGAGCAAAAAGAGTGGAGGGAGAAAACACAAGAGCTGTGAGGGCAGGAGGGGAGATAGACTATAAGATAAGATAATTACAAAGAACAAAAGAAAGAGAGAGAGAGAGAAGAGAGATAAATAATAGGATTGAGGAAAGCTGAGCAAAAGAAGAGAGAAAAACAAAAGGACAAATAGATGGGGCGTAATCAGGGTGCACCTGATCTTGAGAAAAGGAGAATTGCTCCTCAGCTAGACACACTTGAAAGCAAATCCATGCACACACACACTCCAACACCAGCTAGACACACTTGAAAGCAAATCCATGCACACACACACTCCAACACAGCAACACACACACAC